TCTTCTGGTCCTGTAACAAACAATAGGATGTGGAAAAGAGACAATCAATGTGTGAAGCTGTGGCTAGTTTGTTGACAGAAAGAAGATTGTAACGGAAAGAAGGTATGTGAAGACACTCTGTGACTTCTAATTGATTAGATAATCTAGCTGTGCCAATATGTTCTACGTGTTTGATAGTGCCATCAGGTAAGGAAACAGGAGTATAGCAGGTTACAGGTTTATAACTAATCAGAAGAGATAATAAAGCAATCATATGCGCAATAGCTCCAGTATCCAAAAACCAAAACTTAAGAAACTTATTCACAACAGAACTAATAGTACTCAAAGTTGTATGATTGTTCATACCTGCAAAGTCATGATAGTGAGCAAAGTTGACATTCTCCTCATCAACAGTCATCTTGCCTTTCATCATCCTCATCAGGTTATTCATAAGCTGCATCATTTCTTCATTTGCAGATGTTGAGCTTTATCCATTGTTTTCTCAGAATTTGGTGATGCATCTGCCAAGTTTACTGACGATCTCATGCCATTCCCTTTCCTTGATTCCTTGTAGCTGTCCCACCAATCTGGATATCCAACCAACTCAAAACAGTCTGCTCTCAGATGACCATTCATGTGGCAATGATCACATTTGAGCATCCTTTTTGCTGCTTTGTCTCGTCTGAGGTCATTCTCCTTTCCTGAATAAGCAGAACGCCTTGTCGATCCATTCATAGACTTGTTTCCTGTCTGTGAACCTCCACCTGAAGACCCATAGTTATAACTTGCAGAGTTTGATCTATTATTGAATACTCGTTTCTGAACCATCATAGCACTTTGTTCCAATGATTCCACAAGATTTCTTTGCAGTGCTACCTGTTTTTCAACATTTAGAACCATGGTGTACGCCTTCTTCACCTCAGGCAAAGGATCCATCATGAGAATTTGGTTCCTCTCACGACTGTAAGACTCATTCAAACCACTAAGGAACTCCATCAGTTTGTGACGACTTTCACGACTTCCATCATTATTCACTCCATAATTACAAGTATCAGGAGGATCAAGAAACATTAATTCATCCCAAAGTCGTTTCAGTTTTGAATAATATGCAATCAAACTCAGATTTCCCTGTGAAATAGTAGCTATCTCTCTCCTTAAATGATACATCTGTGGTCCATTACGTGTACCATAACTTTCTTTGACTTCTTCCCATAGATCATATGCACTCTTAGCCAAATCATTATTTTCTACTAATTCAGGCAAAATTGAATTCAGAATCCAAGTGATTACCATATTGTTGACACACAGCCATTGCGCATGATCTGGATCTCCGATTTCAGGCATCTTCTCTGCTCCGGTGATAAATCCAAGCTTATTCCTTGTTCCTAAAGCTCTCCGCATCGTGTGACGCCACGAGATGTAATTGATTTCATTCAACTTTGTTGGTATGATCACCAGAGGCGAATTGTCTGAAGCATGCAATACGAGCGGATGTTGATAACCGCCGTAGTTTGTGATCTCTCGATCCTCTCTTCGCTGCTCTTCACGTTAATTTCCAGCACAATTCGCCGCCATTCTTCTTTAATTTGCGAACAAATTCTGTTCACAGAGCTTAGATTTCAAGAACCAGAAATCCTAATTTTTGGGGCTCTAGGTTTCCGATCAAAATCCGATCTATTGCAATACAATTTCCGGCATAGAACAGGACCTTAATCCTGCTCTGATACCATCTCAAATTGGTAGAAGCAAAGTAATTGGTGAGGATTGGGGATTTCGGCTTTGATGGTGTATTCAAGAATGTTCAGTATTACCTTTCTTGAAAATGAGAATTAAGTCTGATAATAATTCTTTACAGATCTACAGAGTATATATACATGATTTAACTAACACTGACTTGTAACAATTTATAACTAGGTCCCTATTCTACTGACTATTTATAAAGTAACATAGCTAATCAGAAAACCTGTATTGATTTGTTTCAAAGAAATGTTGAAGATACATAGATGCATGCAATTTTAATAAGAATGCTCGTTTCATTAGTTGGCTCAACTGTGGCCGCACTCTGAATTAGTGTATGTTAATCTAATTTTACCATATCATCGTCAAAAGTACAAAAGATACGATGCCCAGATTTGCACCATTTTTTTTCAAATCTGTGCAACAATCATGCTTTTAATTAACAAGTTGAGATGCAACCACATCTTTTCATTTATGCATGTATTGATTGATTGCAATACAAAAGTATTAATAAAATTTTTATTACTACAATTTTGGTCTCTTTTATATGTACTATAAAATGTTTTTGTTACTTTCATCAAGACAATAGTTATGGTCTATAAAATCCCAGTTATTTCCGTATTCTTAAAACAAAGGTACAATCAACTGTAATTGCATCAGATTTATCCGTATTAAAGATAAATCATGGTTATCGAGAATGAGCAAGTTCGCCATAAAATTGATATGGTAAAGATGAGCATGAAAAATAACCTGCAGGCTACATTTTCGAAATATCATGAAGGTCTCTTTATGGAACCTGACAAATTATGTACCCTTACAGGGGTCAAAGCTTGAAGTTGTGGTTTTTGCTAGAAAACAAAGTTTACTCGTTTTGCTTTGCTCTTCAACTGCAAGTCTTGTTCTCAAAAAATATTAGACTTAAACCCCGCACTTCATCAGCCAAGAGAGCTCCACCAACAGGGCACACTATAAGGATAATGAGGTAAGCCTTAATGAAGAGCTCAGATCATTGGAAAATCACATGGATGGCGCGAAGCAGTGGCCAACTTGTCCAGATGGTGAGAGCCAGCCGCAGCGGGATTCTTTGAAACAAAATATACGATCCGAACCCAATTTCTTTCTCCTTAATTTTAATCTGTTACCTATAAGTTATAAATGTCTTCATAATTACATTGCTTTTTTTTTTTTATTTAGGATCTCGTAATTGATTTGAGAAATAACATTGTTTCAGTTGGATGATTATTATCTGCTATAGTAAATGTCTCTTAAGAATTTAATTCCAAAGTTCATTTTATTTAGGCAGCATACATAACATCATCCCGATTCATTTGGACAGTCAAATAATTAATGACATTAACAACTTAAATTGAGATACAATCCTAATTTGATAACATACATGTAATTTTGACGTATCATTAAATAATTTATGTGGAAAACAAATATACATTGCCTCTTTCTGAACTAACATTTTACAATAAAATAAAATGATGTATTGGTCATGAAACGCACGAAGGATAAGATGTAGTAGAATTATTAAAATTGGCAAAATCAATTGGAAAGATACGATTATGAAGGCGCATGTCACTTCCAGTATCGGCAAGCCAATGCTCTACAACAAAGAGGTCATAGACTTGAAAAGGCATAGTTCTATAAGTTCACACAAAAATATTGGCATCAGAAGGGAACGAAAAAGAAGAACAAGGCAGGTATTTCAATTCAATATCTATATGTCAAAACCTATGGGTGATTAATATGGCGTTCTAACAAAAGGTGGATTGATTCTTGTTTTTTTTTCTAACAAGGCAGTTATTGTTTTTTCTTAATTATTTTCTAAACTAGTTTTCTCAGTTTCTTTTAATGGGACCTTTACTTGTTAAATCTCAGGAGTTCTGTATATATTTCTTTACCATTCTTTGTAACTTGGTCAAGATGATGTTGTATGCGTGTCCATGTTTCGTGCCTCATAGTTTCGATCATTGAGGCTTTTTTTAACAACTCAACTTTTATACTCCTTCAAGATTAATCTCTGCGTGACGTTACAAATCAATTTAATTAAGGGTGCAATTAATCAAGCCGTGGTTCATTTATGCGACGTAAAATTTGACATTCCATGCCCTCTCGGAATCTTCGCACTTAATTTGAAATAATGCTATTACAACTTATATTTTATGATCGAGTTGATTAAATCATTCAAGTACTGAGAAGGCGAATTTGCAGCCAAAAAGACAAGGATTGTGCTATTGCTTTTAAAGATTGTACGGGACGACTCGATCGATGCTGCTTTCTCAGGATCTGTTGCCGCGGTTGAACAAAGTTTATTCCACTCTGGTTCATGTGGAACAGATACATAGTTTGCAAAATCGCGATTCTTCAATCACTTCGATCACGTATCATGAAATCGATCCTGAATCGTAAAGGATCGTTCTTTGTAGCAGAATTAGGACGAGATCGGTAGAACCGTTTAAAATGGTGTAGGATCGTTTGATTCTTTGATTTTGCCGATCCTATCACAAATTTTGAAATTCCAAAAAAACGAGAGAGATTTGATGGCAAAGACAATTAGTTCCAGTTTGACAGAATACAACCCGACCATAAAGGTTCGAAATATGACATCCAGATCAATGCCCCATGATTTCCTTCCCCTACTCTGTTTTTTCTTTTTCTTTTTCCGGGGAGAATGGTGCTTGCGTCTTGCGGCTTGAGGGAGATGGGGAAGGAACATGAGCGGTTTGGAAGGATGAATGGATTAAATCACTTCCTACCTCTTTTAATTTTTTGACTAGATTTTAACACACTTGGCGTTGGATTAGGTTTCTCTTGATCATCCTAATAAAAATTCATTAAGTAAATTTAATTATTCAAAAGAAAAGTTATAACATTTAAAATTCAAGATAGGGATTAACCAAATTTTAGCCTCCAAACTTTGGTCTGATTTCACGAGTTTACTAAATAAATTTTTTCTTTCGATTTTCTCGCAATTGCCACATTAGATGTTCAATACTTCAGTTCATCTTTTGAATTTAACTAAAACGTAATTTATGAAAAAAAAATATAGCTGCAATTTAAGCACATTCGAGCATGTTATTAAGTGAGTAAGTCTGTGTAGGCGTGTTGAAACATGTCAATAAAGAGATTAACTTCACAATTAATGGTGTTGTATATGTAGTTAATTTTAAAATATTTTACGATCCTACTTTTCCGATCCTACCGACCCCATTTACGATCCGATCCTGTGACTTCATTTCAAGCCTACGTAAGATCACGATCCTGCAAACATTGAACGGATGTATCACATTGCTCAATCGACGGCGATTCCGACTGATCTGGTCAGCTTCGCGGTTAAGGCTGTTGCTGGATCGTCCCTTCCTTCTATTTCAGCTGATTCGGTGGCTGCTGCTGCGGCATCTCTCTCACAGCCGGCTGGTCTTGGGACTTCCCGTGAAGCTCCCCTCGATTGTTCTCATTGCAATCGTCCGAATCACGACGTTTGTGACTTGTTACCAACTTTCTTGCATAGAAGGTGTGGATAGAACGACCGCCTCCTTTTGGTTTATTGAAAAGCTATCGGCATTGAACATCCATAAAGCCTACCAAATTATGATGTCCATGGTCCCTTCAACAGATCTTCTTGTCATGACGGCAAAGAGGGGGTGAAACGTCTCCTTCCAATCGCAATGATGGAGGGCAGAAACATCCTCCCGGGGTTTTAATATGGCATCAATTTGGCCGAATCATGCCCAGGTTTTATCTACAAATTACATCAATTTTGGCTTACAATGGCTGCATGTTCTAGGGGACTTCGCATAAGCTTAAATGGTCATGCTTTAATAAACCTTATTTAATTAATCAAAAATCAAGTCACTATTCAAGAAAGAGCATGCTTGGTTCTTTCTTCGTATTTTTGTTTTTGGTGACAGATTCATGAAAAAATGATATTTTTCAAAGGCAACACTTGCTTTTGAGATTTTGAGCATCACAAATATCTTGGGAACAAGCTGTGCGCTTGTCAAGGCAGCAACAATCAGGTTTGTCATGACCACATCTTCGATTTCTTACAAACTATCCAGCCGCCTTTGGTCTTTTTGGATCAATGACTTGATTTGGCCTTTATATGTTTTCTGCAATATCTATTACGCAAAGGACTTAAGACGATAGCCTTTGCTTATCCATATATGGCATGAGATATGATATCTAGCTTTCAAATTAATCCGACATCTGAATTAATTGTTTATGCATGATGGACCATAAATTATCACTCAAGGACATCCCATTAAAAACCCAGTGCACATATTAAACCCTTTGGACTTGAACGTGATTTTTTAATCAACTCTTGGGATTTATGAAAGCTTGATTTGGCTCTAGTTTACTTAATTACTTAAGTGATATTAGTTCACGCCAGAAGTTCTAAGTCATGGCTCCAATTATCTTAAAAACAAGATTCAAGTTTGCTTTTACAATATATATACCTCGAATAACATAAAATTTGGTACTTACTAGTGAGTACGGCCAGAGAACTTGGCAGCATATACACCCTCGAAGTGATTGTTATCCGCCGATTTGTAGGATCAAAATTTTTGTTGCCATTGATATACGTGGCTAAATTTACAGCCCAATATTTTCATAATTTTGGATTCGCACATTAATAATTTGTCTATATTATAGCATCAATATTTGATATTCATGACGTTGTCCTGTCTACATTATTTCTTTATAAGCCAACCGTGGCTTAAGTACAATTCTGTGGTGATCAAAGTTATAACACTATCTCGCCTTGCTTCTCGAGATCATATTATCTAGTTTTGCTACTACTAATTCTGTACATGAGTTCTTTCGATAAAAGGCAAATACAACCTTCAACCTTCGAGGTTCGAAGCCGTACAACAAATAACACAATGGATTAAGATATCGTCAAAGTTGGCCGATGATGAAGAATTTTTTACTCAAAGTTGATAAGCAAGAAACTGGTCGAGCAGTTCCTCGAAGTTAAAGATCAATTAGCAGCCGTGACAAGCCGTCGTTACACTAGTCAAATATTAATTACCTACTAAATACGATTACTAGTAGTAAAGTAGCAAGCAGGGTAGATCCCACAGAGAAGGTTACCAAGTACCGGTTAAAATTATTTTTTATTATTATTTAGATTAACAATTTATGAATTTAAACTAATCTAAACCTAAAACTATCAATTACAATTAATTTAAGATTTTACACAAATAAAAGAAAACCTAGGGCAAAGGGTTCACCTACCGACTATTCACTTTAACTCAACCTATAGATATGTGACTTTGGACTTTTATTTATCTCACAATGATTCACCTATTTAAGAACTATTCACTGTTGTGATATAATTCTCTTACTCAAACTAACCCTATGACTACTGTCGTGACCAGAGGATTTAATTAGAGTACATTAAGAACCATAGAATCTATAGCTGCAAAGAAGGTGTTCCTACTTTCGTGGCCTACTATCTAAGTTTAATATTCCCATGAACTAGTGCTAACATTCAACCGTCGTTCCTTCAGTTAAACACCTTTCAAGCATGCAAGTGGTGATCAAATACTAACGTGGAATAAAAACAAGAATATTAAATATCAACTAATGAAAAAGTCACAATCATAAATTAAATTAAATTAAATAGTACGGTGGCTACTTCCAAAATCCTAGATTAAATACTTTAGCTACACACCATCTTAAAAATAAATGAAACAATGAAACCCGGGAGAAAGTCAGCCAAAAGTTGAGTCTGAGGTTGATGCGTTGGTGCTTGCCTCCTCCGATGATGCGTGAAGATGATGACGGTGTGGCATGAAGTTGGTGTTGATGGGGTGAGATGGAGGCGTGGAATTTTGGACTGATTTGGTGTGGTGATGGGATTTGATGGTGATGGTGCGTGGAGATGGGGTGGTAATGAAGAAGAAGTAGTTTTGGTGATGGGCGTGGGCGGTGATGGGATGGTGATAAAGCTAGGGGTTTGGTGGAAGTGGAGAAGAGGAGGTGGTGCGTGGAGTTGGGGTTGGGATGGTGTGTTACGTGAGTTTTTGAAGTTGGTCCCAAAAAAAATAAAACTCCAATTCTTCTTTTATCGGCTTTCGTCAAACCCTATTTCTTCAGGAATAAGAAAGCTTATTTTCCAATTAAAATTGGGATTAAAATTCTTGCGATTTCTTCCTAATTAGGTCTTACAATCTTCATTTAGGCCCTTTTTAGTTACTCTTTCTTTTTAATTTAGTCCAAAACCTCAACAATTCTTCCATTTGAGTACAAAACCTACAAATAAAGATAAAATCATATAAATAGCATATTTGTACTCAAAATATATTGCAAAAATCACAAATTAGGGATATAATAAATATGTAAAATATAAGCATATCAGGCCGCACCTGAGTGACAGTGGCGAAAATTCACTTCCGGTCGAGGAAGACTTGAAATATTTCACACTCTTATAATTTATTCCCTATTTATTCTATTTATTATGATCTTTTCTTTGGAGGTTGTATAATTTGATAGATTAGTCCTCTTCAAAGGAAGTGGCAATATGAGACAGATGTCAAAAGACACATCTCTTCAAAGGACTCCCTCGGCATTTGAATACTGTCACTCATTGCCATTTGGAAGTACAGGCTGGAACACCACTTCTTACATAATTACACGAGTCAGAGGCTTTAATGACAGATAAGTTATCGTGGCTTTTCATTAAAAATAAGTTCCTTTTATACATCATTGCCTTCCAAACATGACCTAGGTATCATTCTGCATAACTGCAGATACTAGGCCTCCTTAAAAGCAGTTGTTGCCACAATTTTATAATAATAGCATGTCAATCATATGTTACCTGATATAATTATATGAATCATTCCTTTTTTGCCATCACAGCAAACATAAAGGTCCTTGAAAAATATTTCAATAACACTTACAAATTGCATGGCATGCATGATACTACTTGCCATATTTTTATCTGAAAGTGAAATTCACTTACTTGACTGTTTCACTCTAAGCCATACACTGCTCACCGAGGGTACAACCACCTTGTTATTAGAACAACTAACTTTTTTTCCAAAGTAAACAGCTATCTCGGTTTTTCAAGGGACCAAGGGCATATACAGCCGTGATCACACAGATCGGCCCTATGACAAGAGTGGAGACAATCTCCTTGACTGATTGAAAAAGAGATAAGTAGCTCTACACTTACTCGTTCTATGTCATGTTAGCATATTTCTAACTAGACTTGTATAACGAAAGCAATTCTGGTTATACTCTTTAAATTACACAGTGCCTCCCTTGAGGTGATTGAACGAAATGTGTACAGTTACAATAACCTGCCCGAGCGTGGCGCAATTGTACTACGTGGTTTAGCAGGTCTTACAAGAAGACAACTCGAGGAGCATCTGTCTCGAACTACGAAGCAACCAATTTCGAGGGGCAATGGCTCGCTCGAAAAGAAAGGTAAGTATCATTATCTCCTTGGCATTTACATGTTCTCTGGATACTATCTCCTTCAATAAATAGTATATCACATGAATTATTTGAAAACATCGTAAATGCATGTTTTTGTGCTATTTCCTGATCTACTCAGTCGACTCTTTGAGGCTGAGATGGACACATAAATCGAGGATCGAGTTTTACTGGCATCATTCTATTGACTGTAGCTTTAATATGCATGTATGACTGGTTTAATATCTCAAATCACATAAATCAAGTGTTTTCTAAGACTTTGGAATTAGTGAATAATCGACTGAGTTAATCATTAACCTATTCTCCATACGTGCAATGTGTTAATTTGCCATTTTCACATTTATGATTGGCTATCACCTAGCCTTCACACACATTGATCCGGTAGATAAAATCACAGAGTCGTGACATCTATGTTTTCTCGAGTGGAGTCTAATTGCTTTTTACGATCTAGATCTTGATCATAGCACATGATGTTGTTTGCCTCCATATTTCTCGAAAAGTTGTTAATCCATGATCTTGAGAATACTAATGTAAACCCTTCTATCATAAAGGCATACTCGAATTTGGGGAGAACTTCTACTTATTTTTGCAGAACTTGCAATAATGCGAGAATGAAGATAACCCCTCTATGATCCAAGAGTGTAATCATACCACAGTAGCCTCCAACAAATGAAGGTCCAATACACGGTGATTGTCAAGAACGAGTCCGTTGACATTAATGAGGAGCTTCTCGACAAATGGGTATTGCTACTCTACCTTGTGGATACCCCTAGAAGAGTGCCAATTGATACGATATCCTTATCATATTATTGCCTAATTATGTGAACATCTGCAATACAATGTTACGATAGTTCATGAGCATGAAATAATTCTTCTTACATTCCTATTATGACACATTAGACATACGTGTTTCTTTAGCCTCTTCAGTGTCCTCGAACTTCAGCATGCAAACTTCTTGCACAAACTGTCTTTCTTAGATGCATGAATTATTTACCAATTACTTGCATCATCATGTATTAGTAATGAAGCGTGATGCTACAAAGTATACATATAAATGACTTTGTTTACTCTGCACGTG